TTTAATATGATTTCAACCTTTACATGTAAATTAATTATCTCTTGGGCCTAGAAAATAGATTCTAAGTAATATTAGGCTGTTGACAACAATTGGATGATGTTGATGTTGGTAATTGGACTCGAGGAAAAATGAGGCTTATGGGACAAGATTGTAATGCCATTAGTAACTTGAATAATGAATTCCTTTAAATTATTTTGACGTGAATGGAAGTATTTTGGGATTTTGTGTGTGTTAAGGCTATTAAATGGAGGATTGTCTTTAATATTAATTGGTAATACATGTGATTTTTCGACGTTGAGTGAAAAAAGAAAGTGATATAATCTCCGTAGGAGCTTGTGCACACACAAGGGCAAAAAGGTAAGTAAAAATCCATTTGCAACTACGATGCAAGAACCTAGCATTTGTAGTATAGTGATGTTAGGATATTTTCATACTTTGATAAGAAAGCTCGTTGTACCCTATATGATGATTATGATCATTGATTATGCAGTTGCAAAATACATTGACATCAACTTCCATTAAGCATGTCATTCATGAGCATTTTCGTTGGCATGCACAACATATGATCATGGTTGAAAACTTTACATGCGAAACATGATTTCAAAGTAAGTTTTCTTTATAAATGTTTGTGAGGCATGCTTATGTGATATGTTTGGCATCGCGGGGTGATACTTCTTGGGTGATTGCAAAGGTAGACAGGGGACGGGCCTTTGGTGATCACAGGAGGGCGGACCACTTGACTATGCCCTTGTTATGATTATTGGCGCTGCTGGGTGGGAGACTTCTTGGGTGATCATAGGGGTAGTTAGGGGATGGGCCTCTAGCTGTCACGAGTGGATGGTCCACTCGCCGATGTCAATTTCATATTGGCCACTCTATTATTGATATTGATATTATGCAGAGCTCTATCCATTGCATAGTTGGTGGGTCAAGGGCCCCATGAAATGAAAGCTTTCAAATGAATTTCGAGTCGACTTTGATGAATATTGGAATATGATGCATCTCTAGCATGATATTTAAAGTAAATGACATGGTGTCACATATCCTTGTTACTCATACTCATACTCATGACATGCATGATTCTTGCTTACTAAGCAATGGCTTATGTAGTTCTTGCATTGTAGGTGAGCATGGAACTATGTAGAGGGCACGGCTAGCTGTGGAGCTCTTACGGGATTCCAAAGATCAATGTACATGGATGACGACCTGTAGGGTTATTTTGTGGGCTATTGTTTTGAGCTTACACTCTATTGTGTCGTATTTTGGGGGTCCTATCTTGTATAACTTTTGAAATGGCCTATAGATGTGTTTATAACCTTAGAACATACGTGTTGGATTATGGTTATATGATCGTTGATTTTGATATAATATATGATCATCACAGGTGATTTGAAGTTAACAAATAGGGACATAATTGTGCAAATGCTCGTTTCATTTTATTAAAAAAAAGTATATCTAAATTTTATGTCTAGATCGAGTTACCAATATCATTTCGACATAGGAATTAGTATGGTTATTTGTATATATTTGGGGTGTGACAGAGAGTGGTATCAGAGCAAGGTTATAATTCTGTAGACTATCCACGTACATGATATCGGAGTACGAAAGAGCACAGCTAAGCTTGTAAGTTTTATTTGTCGCATTATTTTTTCATATTTCATGAATGATATTGGCCAACCTTTATTTGCAACCATGGTGAGAACCAGAGATGCTAGTAGTAGTAGAGCTAGAACTCTAGGGTAAGAGGCATCTGTTCAAGATGACAGTCGGGTTGTTGTTATTGATAGACTAACGAAACTAGTTGAGCGACAATCTCAACAAATTCAGCAATTAATACAACAAGGAGAAAGGGGAGAACATCAAAAGGCTGAATTCATACAACCACAACAAAGGGCTGAACATTTTGAGGCAGTTGGGGAAAGATTTAGAAAACTAAACCCTCCAATATTTGAGGATGCATTAGACCCAACAGCTGCAGAGGATTGGTTGAGAACTTTGGAGAATATGTTCAGGTATACGAGAGTTTTGGAAGTAGAATTGTGCATTCTTTATGCTACGAGGTAGTGCTGGACACTGGTGGGATACGATGAGTAGTATTGAAGATGTAAATACCATGACTTGGGATAGATTTAAAGAGTTATTCCATAATAAATATTTTACAACCCCAGTTCGAGCCATGAAGATGAATGAATTTATACAGCTAAGACAAGGAGGGATGACAGTGGGGGAGTGTATTCGTAAATTTGAACAACTATCTAGGTTTGCTACCCACATGATTAATACTGATGCATTAAAAGTAGAAAGGTTTCTTGAGG